AAAGAAATTAATGAAATTAATCAATTTCTTTAATTTCTTTAATTTCTCACAGAGAGTCCCAGAAATTAAAGAAATTACAGAAATTAATTAATTTCATTAATTTCATGAAATTTCTTTAATTTCTTTAATTTCATTAATTTCTTTTAATTAGTCTCGCAAGCCCGAAGGGCTACCGGAATTAATTTCTTTAATTTCTTTAATTTCTCACAGAGAGGCCCAGAAATTAAAGAAATTAAAGAAATTAATTGGGGTAGCCCCCCCGGCTCACGGGACTAATTAAAATAAATTAAAGAAATTAATGAAATTAAAGAAATTAAAGAAATTAATTAATTTCTTTAATTTCGCACAGAGAGGCCCAGAAATTAAAGAAATTAATGAAATTATATAATTTCTTTAATTTCTCACGGAGAGGCCCAGAAATTAAAGAAATTAATGAAATTAATTAATTTCTTTAATTTCTTTAATTTCTCACAGAGAGGCCCAGAAATTAAAGAAATTAAAGAAATTAATTGGGGGGCCCCCCCCGGCTCACGGGACTAATTAAAATAAATTAAAGAAATTAATGAAATTAATGAAATTAAAGAAATTAATTGATTTCTTTAATTTCTTTAATTTCGCACAGAGAGGCCCAGAAATTACAGAAATTAATGAAATTAATTAATTTCTGTAATTTCTTTAATTTCTCACAGAGAGGCCCCGAAATTAAAGAAATTAATGAAATTAATTAATTTCTTTAATTTCTTTAATTTTTCACAGAGAGGCCCAGAAATTAAAGAAATTAATTGGGGGGGCCCCCCCGGCTCACGGGACTAATTAAAATAAATTACAGAAATTAATGAAATTAATGAAATTAAAGAAATTAATTAATTTCTTTAATTTCTTTAATTTCGCACAGAGAGGCCCAGAAATTAAAGAAATTAATTTCATTAATTTCTTTAATTTCTTTAATTTCATTAATTTCTTTTAATTAGTCTCGCAAGCCCGAAGGGCTACCGGAATTAATTTCTTTAATTTCTTTAATTTCTCACAGAGAGGCCCAGAAATTAAAGAAATTAAAGAAATTAATTGGGGGGGCCCCCCCGGCTCACGGGACTAATTAAAATAAATTAAAGAAATTAATGAAATTAAAGAAATTAAAGAAATTAATTAATTTCTTTAATTTCTTTAATTTCGCACAGAGAGGCCCAGAAATTAAAGAAATTAGTGAAATTAATTAATTTCTTTAATTTCTTTAATTTCTCACAGAGAGGCCCAGAAATTAAAGAAATTAATGAAATTAATTAATTTCTTTAATTTCTTTAATTTCTCACAGAGAGGCCCAGAAATTAAAGAAATTAAAGAAATTAATTAATTTCATTAATTTCTTTAATTTCTTTAATTTCTTTAATTTCTTTAATTTCTTTAATTTCTTTAATTTCTTTTGATTAGTCTCGCAAGCCCGAAGGGCTACCTGAATTAATTTCTTTAATTTCTTTAATTTCTCACAGAGAGGCCCAGAAATTAAAGAAATTAAAGAAATTAATTGGGGTAGCCCCCCCGGCTCACGGGACTAATTAAAATAAATTAAAGAAATTAATGAAATTAAAGAAATTAATTAATTTCTTTAATTTCTTTAATTTCGCACAGAGAGGCCCAGAAATTAAGGAACTTAATGAAATTAATTAATTTCTTTAATTTCTTTAATTTCTCACAGGGAGGCCCAGAAATTCAAGAAATTAATGAAATTGACTAATTTCTTTAATTTCTTTAATTTCTCACAGAGAGGCCCAGAAATTAAAGAAATTAAAGAAATTAATTAATTTCATTAATTTCTTTAATTTCTTTAATTTCATTAATTTCTTTTAATTAGTCTCGCAAGCCCGAAGGGCTACCGGAATTAATTTCTTTAATTTCTTTAATTTCTCACAGTGAGGCCCAGAAATTAAAGAAATTAAAGAAATTAATTGGGGGAGCCCCCCCGGCTCACGGGACTAATTAAAATAAATTAAAGAAATTAATGAAATTAAAGAAATTAATTAATTTCATTAATTTCTTTAATTTCGCACAGAGAGGCCCAGAAATTAAAGAAATTAATGAAATTAATTAATTTCTTTAATTTCATTTATTTCCCTAAGAGAGCCCCAGAAATTAAAGAAATTAAAGAAATTAATAGGTAAATAAATTAAATTCCTCATACAAGTGATATATGTGAAATGGACCCAAAAGGTCCCTCTCACATATATGTATATATGTATATATGTATATATGTATATATGTATATATGTATATATGTATATATGTATATATGTATATATGTATATATGTATATATGTATATATGTATATATGTATGGTCACCCCCCCCCCCCCCCCCCCATGATCCATATGTATCCTGTTCTTGCTTGTCCTTCTGCACCTGTGCTTTCTTTACACAGATGGTTGAAGTGAAAAAACATCGGTATTTGCGATACTTTCGTGTCTTGCCACGTCTGAAGCTACAACTTGCTATTGAAGATCTACACTTGTAAACAACAGAAATCTACAAACAGAATCCGTTTCTGGATTTGGTTTTGTGTGGTTTGCTAATCTGTGTTTTTCACTCTATAATAGCTTTCAATATACACCTTCTTGAACTGCAACAATATTCATTGGTTAGATACAAATATATACCATTGTATAATGCATAAACATAAAAGAAGAGATGAAGAGGTTTCGAATAAAGCACCTAACGCAAGAAGCAGACTACATAATGAAGTTAGAGACGAATTCGCAAAGACAGAGACATTCTTACCGGACACGCAAGGACTTAAATTTGCGTATGAGAATCCTGACGGGATATATCAAAAATGGTTCTATTTTCTACATTGCTGGGACTAAAAGCGGTAGAGATGTTTATGATGAGTGAGAACTTCCTTTATATAAGACGCAACAGACTCAGCGTTATAAAGATGTAGATAAGTTCATTCAAGATGGTTTTATTGGAATAGACAATTAAAGCTCGAATTTTCAACAAAAAAACCGAACTTTCAGGATCTACCGGGCTGCTGGAGCCACAGATCCTAAACTTTAGGTTTTTTTGGAAAATTCGAGCCTGCTCGTGTTTGGGCGACCTACTGTGTCAGTTTTTTTTGGAAACTTCGAGCCGGCTCGAATTTTCCTAAACTGCTTGAAGCTTTAGGTCCCAGAAACTCGAGCAGGCTCGATTTTTCCAAAAAAAAACCGAACTTTCAGGATCTACCGGGCTGCTGGAGCCACAGATCCTGAAATTTAGGTTCTTTTTGGAAAATTCGAGCCTGCTCGTGTTTGGGCGACCTACTGTGTCAGGTTTTTTTTTTAAATTCGAGCCGGCTTGAGTTTTATAAAAAAAAACCTGATGTTTTCGGGTGTCTTTTACCTTGTTGATGTTAATGACCTGCCTGACTTGAAACGATATAGGTTTTTATCGGCACTGTCGGTGTTTTTATCGCTAGCCCATAGCCCCCTCTCCTCCCAAGATCCATCTGTTTCGAAGCAGAAACGTGGATCATCGGGCGGGGGGGGGGGGGGGGGGGCGGGGGCGGGGAGCATATACATATATATATAGATATATGTATATATATATATATACATGTATATATATATATATATGTATGTATTTTATCTATATATATATATATATATATATCTATATATATATATATATATATATATATATATATCAAGATATTACTAGAATGTACACGCGGACCAAGCGGACGAGACCGTGACCGCCCAAAAATGCCCAAAATCGCCCAAGCGGACCAAGCGGACGAGACCGTGACAGCGGAAAACAGCCCAAGCGGACCAAGCGGACGAGACCGTGACAGCCGAAAACCGCCCAAGCGAACCAAGCGGACGAGACCGTGACAGCCCAAAACCGCAAAGCGGACCAGGCGGACGAGACCGTGACAGCCGATAACCGCCCAAGCGGACCAAGCGGACGAGACCGTGACAGCCCAAAACTGCCCAAGCGGACCAAGTGGACTAGACCGTGACAGCCCAAAACCGCGCGAGAGACCGTGACGTTACAAGGACCATTGTTGAGGGGTGAGCGGCTCGCATTTCGAAAACCAGACGCTGTCAAACCCTTAACCTAAACCCTAAACCCTAAACCCTAAACCCAAAACCCTAAGCCCTAAACCCTAAACCCTAAACCCTAAACCCTAAACCCTGCTTCAAGGCCTCGGCAGTCATCTCCGAATCCCTGACCCTGGCCTCAATTTGGTGGAGGGCTTGACTCAACTGGACCGACCTTCAACGGATTTCGTGTCTTTAGTGGGTGCTCTTCAACGGTATAGGGTTTAGGGTTTAGGGATTAGGGTTTGGGATGTTGCTTTGTGATGTAGAATCAGGGGTTAAGGAGTCATGGCGACACACGGGGGTGTTGTGCAGGTCTTCAGCTCAGACCTAGTCATGGTGTTTGGGGTTGAAGGTTGGTTTAGGGTTTAGGGTCAAGGTTTCGGGTTTAGGGTTTAGGGTTAGGGTTTAGGGTTTAGGGTTTAGGGTTTAGGGTTTAGGGACAAGCCTGCCTCTCAGAGCTCAGGACGCTGACCTGCACTCCGGGTACTGCCTTGCAGTCCGCCTCCTTCAAGAACAGTGCCCCCGGCTGGTTTAGGGTTTAGGGTTTAGGGTTTAGGGTTTAGGGTTTAGGGTTTAGGGTTTAGGGCTTCAGGAAGCAACTTCAAGCAACTCTGGGTTGTGTAACCCCTTGCTTCCCTCTGGATTGGCAGCGTTTCAAGAACTCATAGAGAAAGCTGGAAGGTTCTCCGGTTTTTGGTGGGGTTCTTACTCGAATTATCTTTCTTGTTCCTAGATGTGACAGCACGGCTTGCTGAGATCTTTTCTAGATCAGCATGGGTCCAGCGAGCATGACCAAACCCCTCAGCTAGTATGGAAGGGGCGCCGCCAGGTAAGGTAATTTTCAGATTCTTGACATGAACTCATTTTCACTATTCTGCGTAGAAATCACAGTTTCTTGGCCAAAGTTGGCTCAACCGTTCTTCTGGCTAGGGCCCATGTTCGCCTTTCCCAACCCGCGCCATAATCAGCTGTCTAAACATTAAGATGCGTGAAATATGAGACAATAATATATCTACGAAACACATAATACTGTTTTTTTAATGTTTAGAATACCTAGTAGTAGAGTAGGTAAGCTTTATCCTTTTTGGGGTAGTATAATCCCAACCTTCAACTGAAGACGCTCAACACCTCAAACCCTAAACCCTCAACCCTAAACCCTAACCTGAAACCCTGAGCCCTCGCCATCTTCAAGATCTCACTTGAGGCAAAGATGATGGGTGGAGTGGATCTCTGACCTGCTGCTACGTGGCATCTATGGTGCAGACGCCAGAAGTGTGGGGCATTGGCAATGTAATCTGTGGTTGTTTTGGGTTTAGGGTTTAGGGGTTAGGGTTAGCATTCAGAGGGTTTAGCGGGTTTGTAGGATTTGGGGCCGATGGCTTTTGAATGATATGTGAAGTGTTTGAGGTCTTTCAGGGGTTCAATCACGGCGACACTCACAAAGATGGTTCACACCGCCAGAAACCTTCCTTTTCCGCCGGCAAGACCTCGGGGCCTTGGCCTGCCAAGTGAGGGATTTGCAGCATCTCTGATCAAGGGACGAAAGGAGGGGCCCTTATGGGGACCTGGGTTATTTCGGGGCTACTTCGGTATGTCGGGACTCTATCCTTCTGAATCTGAAGAGCAGCGTTAATCGTCACGGATAGACGTCAGCTTGTGCCTGGGGTAGCTTGAAAGATCTGCCAAACGATGGCAGACGTGGAGATGCAAGTGACTTCCTCGGTTGCTGGAAGCAACCTGAACATCAACTCTGCCCTTGTTTGGTTCAAGGTTCCCTTATAACGTAAAAAAAAACCCAAAAGCTTACTCAGCCGTTGCTGCACTTTTCCCTTGTTTAGTAGGAACAAACAAAGTTTAAGATTTTCCCTGGTTATTGGAGAAGTAAGAAGGGGTACCCTTAGTTGATGTGGTTCCTGGGCTGGCAACGAGCACTGTAAACGTGGCACTGGGAGATTGGTATAGGGGACACTCTTCTGGACTACTCCGCATACGGACCCGAAACCCAAAACCCTAACCCCAAACCCGAACCCAAAACCGCAACAGGGCATTTCGGGTTTCAAGGCTCTTAGGGGGTGTGTATGTCACCCAATACGCCTGCTAGGGTGACAAGGAGTCGACCTTAAACCATCTCAGGATCCTTAAGATAAACCCGAAACCCTAGACCCTAAACAATAAACCTCATGCCCTAAACCGCAAACCCCAAACCCCAAACCCCAAACCCTAAACCCCAAGCCCGATGCTTTGCCCAGAGGTGCTTGGAGTGCCAAGCACAGGCTACCTGGACACGCAGAGGCTGGAGGACTGGCTGTTGGGGTTTAGGGTTCAGGCGTTTAGGGTTTCGGGTTTAGGGATGTTGGGGTTTTAGGGTCTAGGAATTCAGGATTTTAGGGTTCTAGGGTTTAAGGGTACAGTCTGGAGGACTGGTTGTTCAGGGTTTTGGGGATGTTAGGGTTGTAGGGTTTAGGGTTTCGGGGTTAGGGTTCTAGGGGGTAGGGTGTTGGGATGTTAAGGGGTAAGGGTTTTGGGGCTTAGGGTACGGAGAGTTCGAGTTTTAGGGCTTGAAAGGGCAGCCCGTGTTTCAGCCTCGAACATGTTGAGGTTGAGGGTTTTCGCTTGGGATGTTCACCCTTCTACTAACAGTCTTTCATAGGTGTCGTCTCCCCAATTATATTCCCTATTAAGGACTGTTCGTAGACGGGGGAACATCACAAGTTTTAGGGTTTAGGGTTTAGGGCTCCTGCCCGGCAAGGAGTGGGAGGGTGTCTACTGCCCAGCAGCGCGAGACCTGAGCGGCCGGCTGCAGTACCAGCATCTTGGGGGAACAAGTTGGGGTTTAGGGTTCAGGGTTTATACGCCCGTCAACCCAAAACCCCAAACACCAAGACCTACAGGGCGCATGATGCCCAATCCCGGGCAAATCCGGACCCAAACCCTCAACCCAAAAACGTTGAACCTTAACTGGGGCATATCCATAGGCCTGCCCCCCAGCCAGGGTTTCCACCCTACGAATCCAAGACCTGACTTCGTAGGAGGTATTTGGAACTTGGGGGGAAAGCTCCTTGGGGGGATTGCTTGGGGGAGGCCCTAGCCTGAAACCCGAACCCGAAACCCGAAACCCGAAACCCTAAACCCGAAACCCGAAACCCGAAACCCTAAACCCTCAACCCTAAGCCCTATGACAGAACTTCAGGCAGCGGAGCTCCTTCCGAGCTCCCCGCGCTGGGAGCTCCACCTTGGAGGGAAACCTGCCCCTTTTCGGGAACAGGGTTTAGGGTTTAGGGTTTAGCGTTTAGGGTTTAGGGTTCAGGGTTTAGGGTTTAGGGTTTCGGGCCCTTAGGGTTCAGGGTATAGGGAAGAGGGTTGAGGGTTGAGGGTTGAGGGAAGAGGGTTTAGGGTTTAGGGCCTTTAGGGTATAGGGTTTAGGGAAGATTAGGGTTGACAGAAGAGGGTTTAGGGTTTAGGGTTGAGGGAAGAGGGTTTAGGGTTTAGGGCTTTGGGAAAATCGGTTGAGGGAAGAGGGTTCAGGGAATAAGGGCTGGAACAGGAGGCCAGTTAGTCGTGATCAGAGGCTGTAGGACACAAGTGCAAGCATAGCAACGCACGATGTAGAGACATGTTTCAAAAGCATATGTCATGTATAGAATATATGTGTAGAAGTATATATGTACAAGTACAAGTACATGCGTATGTGTGTGTGTGTATCATGACCCAAAGATGCCCGTGCGACTAGAGCATTTAAGCCGGACCTTTTATATGAGTGGGGTTCAGGGAAGTCATGTAACTTGTGGGTGTTTCTGTGGACTCTGTGATTGGCTTCTGTGCTTTTGGGGTGAAGGGGGTTGAGGGGCGGGGGGCAGGGGGGGGGGGTTGAGAGCTTGGCTAAGTGTATAGTCTATCTCCAGCCCCTGAGCCACTGAGGTCCTTCGACTACACCTCGGGGCAGTGGTGCTTGCATGGCGTCGGCTGTGCTGCCAGCACCACAGACGACCCCTTGTCTGGGCTTGCCGGCGCAAGCTGGGAGGTTGTGGCCGTCACTGACTTCAACGGCCAGTATCAGGCGTCGTCCTCCAGCTCAGGACAGGGCTGCCATCTCTTGGCGCAGGGTGCTGCACGCGAGTATTCTATGAAAGAAACCCAGAAACCCGGTCGGTCCCAAGTGAACAAACAGCTCAGAATGTGGGTCGAGTGGCGCAAGAGCGGGTACCAACAGCGCATGGGCCGGGGGTTGCGTGTGGAGTTCATGATCCCTGGAACCTGTAAAGGGTTCAGAAATTCGGGCTTGGAGTTGTCAGGTTGGAGGGTTCCTGGGACCGTATGCGCGCTTTGACGTCGGGGCAAATTTGGGCTTGCTTCTTGCAGGACTTTGTGCTTGGTGCGTGCATGGGCATGCGGTGCGAACCGCGAGCATGTCCTTCAATGTGTCCCTTGAACATCTGGCCATCTGCCCACGGCAGGAACGCGCACCCGAACCCGGCAAAAGCCGGCCCTCATCCAATTCCACGCTGAGAAGGTGGAAGTGGCTGAGGAGTGCCTTGGTCTTTTGCTCTCCCTTCGGTTGAGGGTTTAGGGTTTAGGGTTTTTTGGGTTCAAGGCTCCCTGAGAAGGCAACCAATCCGAAAGAAAAGGGTGCCGCACCCTTATTGTTTTTCTGGCTGCTGGGCTGCCAAGGTGCAAAGAGGAAGTGCCAGACTGGAACACTGTGGGAAAGAGCCTGAGCAGTGAAAACCCCTGCTCTTACGTGACAGGCAAGATGGGTGAAGGGCCGATGGGTCAAGACATCCTTTGCCCCAACTCTGTCCTCCGCCGGATTCTGTGCTGTTGCTGGGGTTTTTGTGGGACGGATGGGAATGTCCTCGACCCCAGTGTCGGGTTATTTTCAGTTATGTTCCCTTTTTGGGGGCTTCGGGTTTAGGATTTCAAGCAATGACTCCCTCACTGCCCTCTATCTTCAGACCTTCTGAGACATCTCAGAAACAAGACCGCGAAGTGAGCTGAAATGCCGACACCCCGGTTGCTCCACGAATCCGTGGGTCGCTTGTTAGGATCGCCTAGAGGCTCCTGCAAAAAAATGGCACCTAAGCCCAAAACCTGGGAGCCGTTTGGGAACTGCTTCTGATACCCGAGCCCTCTGCCTCAGGGAAGAAGGCCGACAGCTATTCAGACTTCGAGCATGAAAAGGGCAAAGGCGCTGCTTGTCCATGCGTCCATACCCTAGACCCTAGACCCTAGACCCTACACCCTAAACCCTAAACCCTAAACCCTAACCCTAAAGCTCATTGTTGTAAGGTAAGCCCATTGTAACCATATCTCTCTCACTCTCTCACTCTCTCACTCTCTCACTCTCTCCCTCTCTCACTCTCTCACTCTCTCACTCTCTCACTCTCTCACTCTCTCACTCTCTCACTCTCTCACTCTCTCACTCTCTCACTCTCTCACTCTCTCACTCTCTCACTCTCTCACTCTCTCACTCTCTCACTCTCTCACTCTCTCACTCTCTCACTCTCTCACTCTCTCACTCTCTCTCTCTCTCTCTCTCTCTCTCTCTCTCTCTCTCTCTCTCTCTCTCTCTCTCTCTCTCTCTCTCTCTCTCTCTCACTCTCTCTCTCTCTCACTCTCTCACTCTCTCACTCTCTCACTCTCTCACTCTCTCACTCTCTCACTCTCTCACTCTCTCACTCTCTCACTCTCTCACTCTCTCACTCTCTCACTCTCTCACTCTCTCACTCTCTCACTCTCTCACTCTCTCACTCTCCCACTCTCTCACTCTCTCACTCTCTCACTCTCTCACTCTCTCACTCTCTCACTCTCTCACTCACTCTCACTCGCTCTATCGCTCTCTCTCTCTCTAGCTCTCTCTTTGTCTTGAGGTATCTCAACCCCTCACGCGCTGTGCTAGCTGTCGTTGAGGGTTTTCATGAGATCAGCAAGCTGTGATAAGCCTAGGCACCCTTGATGATGGTGATGATACGTGCTACGAATAAGTCCGAATAGTGCGCCCGGCTTAAATGCGTAGCATGTCGGCGACAATTACCCCGAGTAGTCGCAATCATTGCAAATCTTACTCCCTTTTGTCCCCTATCTAAACATACCATAATAACCACCTTTTCTTATTACTAAGGCCCCTATAGTATCAATCCCCCCTTGGAGGTTCATGATACTTGTGAACCAATGATAACTGTACGTAGAACCCACTTATAAGCCCCTTAAGTGCCCTAATATGGTTATAAGTGCAGCTAGAATTGGTTAATAAGCACCATGAACCTCCAAGCCAGTTCGGAGAGGCGCCAACTGGTGGGAGTTTAAAGATGGAAAGCTGGCGACGGTAGATGACCTCAAGGGTGGGAAAGGCCGCTTGGGGCAAAAATTGGAGGGGGGGGTTTCAGGTTTGTAGGGTTCAAGGTTTAGGGTTTAGGGTTGAGAGGGTAGAGGGTAGAGGGTTTAGGGCCTAGGGTTTAGGGTCTGGGTTCCCCCCCCCCCCCCTGGTCGGGGCCTCTCTCTCGCTTTGTGGGCGCCTGTTTGGTTTTGTTTTATCTCAGGGGTTCCCCGACTGCCCCCCTCTTTACTCCCCGGGTTCCCCCCCTTAAAGAACCTCAATTAGGCTTACTTCTCCCCAAAAAGGCTTAATCATGGGGGGAATCTAGGGGGGGGTAGTATAGAGGGGGGTAGTTGGGGAAGCTCATGAGTATCTGGCGGAACCGCTCTGGAGTGTGCTTGACTTGAGGTGGTGCCGGCTACAGCTATGAGAAGATCTTGAGCCTTGCGTCGCATTGCATCGCGTTCCGCTGTGGTTTAGGGTTTAGGGTTTAGGGTTTAGGGTTTAGGGTTTAGGGTTTAGGGTTTAGGGTTCGAGTAACCCTAGCAACCCTAGTAGCCCCAGTAACCCCAGTAACCCTAGTAACCCTGCTGAGCTCGAATCTTGAACTTTTCAGAAGCCCAACAATGGATGCCTTGTGATTCTAAGAGGCCCGGAGCCTTCTTCAGAGGGCTTTTTAAAGCTCAACTCTACGCGCACCCGAAGCTCTCTGAACCCGAAGCGTGTCGCAGTGTAGCCCACTTAAAACCAAAACCCTAAACCCTAAAACCCCAAACCCCAAACCCCAAACCCTAAACCCTAAACCCTAAACTCTAAACCCCAAGCCCTAAACCCTAAACCCTAAACCCTAAGACCCCAAACCAAAACCTAAAACCCCAACAGACTTATCAAGTCTCTTCCGTCTCAGGGACTGCTGGGAGCGCCAGGAGGAGAGAGAATCCGACATGTCCGAGGCGGCCGCCTGGCTCTTCTCCGTGACGTCGCGACGTGTCGAGGGTTTCGGCGGATAGTGTAGAGGTGTCCAGGGTTTAGGGGTTTCTGGGTTTAGGGGGTTTAGGGGTTTAGGGGGTTTAGGGGTTTAGGGTTTAGGGGTTTAGGGTTTAGGGCTTAGGGTTTAGTGTTAAGCAGCACGAGCGCTCATCGTCCGTTAGAGCATGTGAGTGGAGAATATGCATCCATTCCCTGAGGGCGGGGCCGGAGTGTCCACCCTAGACCCCACAAAACGAAGACAACCCTTTGAGTTTGAGACATCTAGTGCCATTTAACATACCCTGTCAAAAAAGGCGATGCAACCCTCGAACCGAAAAAAGAAGGAACGAAACTCCGAAAAGACCTGCGGCATCCCAGCGCCAATCCTAAACCCCTACTAAGCCCTGGGCCCGGCTCAGATGCTCATGATGCTCATGCCCTTGTGGGCCTCCGAAACCCCCTCTCCCAATAAGGATGAGGCATCTGGCCCTACGTGGCCGCGCGCGCAAGATGCCGCGAAGTAGAAAACTAGGTGCGGTGGCCTTCTCCCGGTCTGGAAAGACGCCGCGAACTCCCTTCACGGTCTTGCCGTTTGGGGGTTTCGGGTTAGGGTTTAGGGTTTAGGGTTTGGGGTTTCGGGTTTAGGGTTTAGGGTTTAGGGTTTCAAACAACATCAGCGCTCCTGCCGGCCATCCAGGGCCTAAACTGCCTACAGCCTATTGCTCTTATGCATGTGGAGCTTCCGAAAGTAGCGGTACCTGAAGTCGGTCCTTATCATAAGGGAGTCCTACTGTTTGGGATCTATCTTGGGGGTCCCCCCATTTACGTAAACCCCCCCCTATACCCAAGTGACGGCCTTCAACCACACTTAATGAGGGTTGCCTGTGCGCGTTGAGACGCCCGATAGCCCATAAATGGTCCAGCTAGGTGGGACTGACAACCCTAAACCCTAAAGCCTAAACCCTAAACCCCCAAAACCCTAAACCCTAAACCCTAAACCCTAAAGCCTAAAGCCGAAAGCCGAAAGCCGAAAGCCTAAACCCTAAACCCCAAGCCCTAGACCCTAAACCCTAGACCCTAAACCCTAAACCCCAAGCCCTAGACCCTAAACCCTAGACCCTAAACCCTAAACCCTAAACCCTAAGCCCTAAGCCCTAAGCCCTAAGCCCTAAACCCTAAACCCTAAACCCTAAACCCTAGCAGTGCATCCCAGGAGTTTGCCTTTGACGAGACCCTGAAGGGCGCCACGCTCGTGAAGGATTATGCCACGCCGGGTTGTTTTGGGTTACCGGAAGCCGTTGCAGCTCCCCTAGGCATCTTGCTTGCAAAGTTCGAAGGATTGGGAGACGCCGGGTTGTTTTATGATACCGGAAGCCTCTGACGCTCCCTTTGGCCTCTCGCTTGCACAGTTTCTGCTTGGGGCTTTCTGTTGGGTGTTGCCTGGCTGAGCCTTTAAACAGTCTCTCACCGATACCACGCGTTTCTCCCAGCGAGCCTCGGCTCCTGTTATAGGGTCCTGAAGCGGGGGGGCAGCTCATGGGGGTAGGTACCTGGAAAACCTTAGGGAACCTTACGGGAACCGTAGGGAAGCTTAGGGAGCCCTAGCGAATAGTTTGGGGGAGTATGAGGGAACCTCGGGCTACGTACTTTTCTTGAACCACCCTCCCTTAAAGACCCTCAACCCTCAACCCTAAACCCTAAACCCTAAACCCTAAACCCTAAACCCTAAACCCTAAACCCTAAACCCTAATTCCTAAACCCTAAACCCTAAACCCTAAACCCTAAACCCTAAACCCTAAACCCTAAACCCTGCACCCTAAACCCTAAACCCTAAACCCTAAACCCTAAACCCTAAACCCTAAACCCTAAACCCTAAACCCTAAACCCTAAACCCTAAACCCTAAAACCCCAAACCCCAAACCCCAAACCCTAAACTCTCGTGAGGTCTGGGAGAAATACAAGAGCTCAGCGAGTTTTGCGAGTCTTTCGTGGAGAACGAGTTTGACGTGGTAGCCACTGCAGCCGAGATGCTGATGGCTTCTGCCCAATACCACAAGCAGCAGGCAGATGCGGCCGACTGCACCCTGCTTCCAAGAAAACCCTAAACCCTAAACCCTAAGCCCTAAACCCTAAACCCTAAAACCTAAACCCTAAACCCTAAACCCTAAACCCTAAACCTTAAGCCCTAAACCGTAAACCCTAAACCCTAAACCTTGAGCCCAAAACCCTAACAGGATGAGAGCCCAAACCCCGGCAACCCGGGAAGCCCCCTCAAGCGAGAACGCTTCATACAGGCATAATTGTCGAAGGGCCCCTGGATGACATTGGCATCCCACAATGCACGGATGCGCCGCTATTGCGAGGTGCTCCAAGGCGTTGAAGCTTCAGTGTTCGGATCATCCGATTTCGATCTGAGTGCCTTTACATGTAAACAAATTGTATGTTCACAGAAAAAGCCGCAAGAGCGACATGCGTTTCTAGGGTATACAGATGTATACATTCATTCCGAATAAGAGCCAAAACCAACTAAACCCTAATCATCGTGTGCAGCAAAACATTGCGAGCTGCGCGCTTGCCACCCGAGGCAAAGGGAACCACGCGGCTTTCGCCCGCATCTGGTGTGACCTGCACTGCGTGCGCTCCGCAGTGCAAGAAGGTGACAAGGCCATCCTCGCTTCCCTGGAGAAGGCGACGGGGCGCCCTTTGTGTCGTTTTGGTGTTTGGGGGGTGTGTGTGGGAGTTGGAGTTGGAAGTTCACACGCACCCAGAGAGCCCGATGCCCCCCCCGCAACCTCTTTCAAAAAAGGCACGGCAGGCACCGCGAATGCTTGTTTTTTGAACAAGTCGGACTTGCGCCGCTTGTTTGCGAGTGGTCGCCCTTCCGACGACCTAGTGGAGCGGAGGGTTTTCGCGAAGATTCCTATTCAGATGCCTAGTTTCTGTTTCGGGCCAAGTGAGATCAGAAAAAGTCTAACTTCGCAAGATGCGGCCGTGCAGACACGTGTGTAAACCCATGAATCTTCTTCGTGATCTTGGCATGGCCTAGCACTGGCCGCACGACCGCGGGATGCCACGCACCAAAGTGGATGTTTTTTTTGTAGTTTTTGGATGTAGGGTTTAGGGTTTAGGGTTTCGGGTTTAGGGTTTAGGGTTGCTGTTGTTTTATTAAGAGTGGGGAGTCTTGAGCCTTCTTGGTTGGAAGCTCGCCAATGTCGAAGGCCGTGAGCGTGCTGGACACGAACGTGGATCGGTTGCTCCAGCGCCTCTGCTATCGGACGCCACAGTGGTAGGCCCTTACTCTTTTTTTAGGGTTGAGGTTCCCTTATAATGCTATAGAACCCACAGTAGGCCCTTACTCTATTTTTTTAGGGTTGAGGTTCCCTTGTAATGCTATAGGACCCACAGTAGTAGGCCCTTACTCTATTTTTTTTAGGGTTGAGGTTCCCTTATAATGCTATAGAACCCACAGTAGTAGGCCCTTACTCTATTTTTTTAGGGTTGAGGTTCCCTTATAATGCTATAGAACCCACAGTAGTAGGCCCTTGCTCTATTTTTTTAGGGTTGAGGTTCCATTATTTTGCTATAGAACCCGCAGTAGTAGGCCCTTACTCTATTTTTTAGGGGTTGAGGTTCCTTTATAAACCAACAAGAGCACCCGTTTTCTTCCTTGGTACTTCTTGGGTCCGAAAACCCTAAGCCCCAAATCCTAAACCCTAAACCTGGGATGTTTCCCTTATGCTAACTGTCCTTAACAGGGATTATAATGGGGGGCGCTCAATCCCTATCAAGGCCTGTTGGTAGGAGGGGGATCATCCCAACCCTAAACTCCTAAACCCTAAACCCTAAACCCTAAACCCTAAACCCCAAACCCTAAACCCTAAACCCTAAACCCTAAACCCCAAACCCTAAACCCTAAATGGGGTGTCAAAAGGGGACGAGTCGATTCAAGAGAGGAGCTCCAAGTTGCCTTTACTTGGAGGTTCATGGTACTTATTAACCAGCTCTATCTGTACTTACATCCCACTTAGAATCCCCTTAAGTGCCCTAAGATGGTTATAAGTACAGTTAGAAGCCCATGCAACCTAAACCCTAAACCCTAAACCCTAAACCCTAAACCCTAAACCCTAAACCCTAAACCCTAAACCCTAAACCCTAAACCCTAAACCCTAAACCCTAAACCCTAAATCCTAAACCCTAAACCCCAAAGGACTCGAGCTTTGGGGAAGTCTGAGGTACTACACGGGGCTGGTCGGAGACAAAGTCGACGCGTTGCGGGCCGACGTGGAGAACAAGTCCGGAGACACCGAGGCAGAGTGCCCGGCCAGTTCTCTCAGACTAGGGCTTAGGGTTTAGGGTTTGGGGGTTGGGGTTTGGGGTTTAGGGTTTAGGGCCCTTTTTGGGGGATTGTTTTATGTTTCGCCTTAATCGGGTTTAAGAGGACCATCATTTTGAAACCTTTTTCAGAGGGTCTTAAGGGCCATCCTTGACAATCATATGGTCACTTTGCTAAAACGATGGTTTGTTTTGGGGTCCCTGTTATAAGGAGGACCCTCAAATGTAGAGGGCAAAACATGGGCCCCCATGAGGGTTTAGGGTTAAAGCTTAAGGCCCTAAACCCTCAGCCCTAACCCTTACCCCTAGACCCTAGACCCTGAACCCTAAACCCTAAACCCTAAACCCTAAACCCTAAACCCTAAACCCTAAACCCTAAACCCTAAACCCTATAAAACCCTAAACCCTATAAAACCCTAAACCCTAAACCCTAAACCCTAAACCCTAAACCGTAAACCCTAGACCCTAGACCCTGAACCCTAAACCCTAAAAACCCCAAACCCTGCGGGAGCGGTTACCAATCTTCTCCCCGCCACACTGCTTTCTAGACCCAACCCTAAACCCTAAACCTTAGACCCCCCCCCCCTTTTCTAGGGTTTAGGGTTTAGGGTTTAGGGTTTAGGGTTAGCTCCAGAGACCGCGCCTGGAAGGCCGCCCAAGTGAAGGAGCTGAAGGCTTCGCTGGCAGCCAAGCTCCACGGCCTGCGGAATTTGTATCAGGCGACGCCCCCGCATGCTCTTGAAGGCTATGGTAGGCATTGCATGCCTAATAGGTCTTATTTAGGGTTTCGGGTTTAGTTTTGAGGTCCACTGGTCTTCGCGACAGATTCCGGGATTTTCAAGAGTTTGCCCATGTGGGGTTTGGGGAGTTTTTGGGCAGCCATTGCAGGTGACTGCTTTGGATGCCGTGCACACAACCGCCGCCGAGCTCTTGCTCCAACAGTTCATGCAGGACACGGGTTTAGGGTTTAGGGGTTAGGGGTTAGGGTTTAGGGTTTCGGGTTCAGGGTTCAGGGTTTCGGGTTTAGCTGAATAAGTCGGGAAGTCGGAAATTAGGTACAATAGAACCATGTCAAGGAATACTGAGTTCCCTAATTCCCTACAACGAACCAGCAAGATACCGTGACTGGTGTTCAAGGACGGCAGCCCTACACCCGAAACGAAACCCTGACTAAATCCTAAAAACCCTAGACCCTAAACCCTAAACCTCCAAATTCTAAGGGTATGGGCCTTCAATTTGTACAGGGTATGTAAGGGGTATATAGGGGGGTACCCTTTTAAGGGCCCATGCTAAGGGACCATGTAACTACCCCTAAACCCTAACCCCTAACCCCTAAACCCTAAAACCCTAAAACCCTAAAACCCTAAACCCTAAACCCTAAACCCTAAACCCTAAACCCTAAACCCTAAACCCTAACCCCTAAACCCTAAACCCTAAACCGTAGACCCTAAACCCTAAACCCTAAACCCTAAACCCTAAACCCTAAACCGTAACCCCTAACCCCTAACCCCTAACCCCTAACCCTAAACCCTAAGCCCTAAGCCCTAAACCCTAAACCCTAAACCCCAAACCCTAAACCCTAAACCCTAAACCCTAAACCCTAAACCCTTAGACGCGCAGGATGTGCGCCAGAGCATGGCCAGCAAGTCTCCGCATGCCAGCCTTGCGGACCACGTGGAGGACGTGGAGGCAGCGTGTGCTCGGAAGCCCAAAACCGTAAGGGTTTAGGGTTTAGGGTTTAGGGTTTAGGGTTTAGGGTTTAGGGTTTAGGGTTTAGGGTTTGGGGTTTAGGGTTTAGGGTTTAGGGTTTAGGTTTAGGGTTTCGGGCTTAGGGTTTAGGGTTTAGGGCTACACCCCAAAGTTAGGGTTTAGGGTTCAGGGTTTTAGGGTTTAGGGATTGAAGCCCTAAACCCGAAACCCTAGCTGTTCCGAGTTCGGGTTCCGAATCTTGCGACTTCTTGTGGGGAGCCCCTTGTTAACAGGGAGTACTCCATGGCATGTAGAATGGACCCTTTAGTCTTATTCCCCTATATGTATACCGTACCCCTTCCATACACTAGGTTACTCTAGGGTGTAGTCAACAGCCGCACACACCCCTATACCCTAAACCCGAAACCCTAAACCCTAAACTCGAAACCCCAAACCCTAAACCCCAAACCCTAAACCCTAAACCCCAAGCCCTAAACCCCTCCAACCCCAAAACCCTAAAGCCCTCAAGTTCTAAACGACCCCCATGTGCCCAAGGCAGCTGCAAAGATCTTGGCCCACGCTGGCGGACTCAAAGCGAGCGACGCCGTGGCGCAGAACGTGGCCCGTTCGGCGGCCAAAATGCAAGACTTAGCCCGGACAAGGACCTTGTTGAGGGTTAAGGGCTTCAGGGTTTCAGGGTTTAGGGTTTAGGGTTTGGGGACAAGGACCTTATTGAGGGGCAAGGGTTTTAGGGCTTCTAGTCCTACTGCTGATGCCTCTGCTGCTCTCTGCTAGTGGCTACCGTTCCTAGTTGTGGCTCCCTTAACTTTAAGAGCCCAGAGTCAAATCACCAGCTCCAAATCTTGACCATTGGCCTTGCTAACTCTAAACTTCTTTGGGTTTAGGATTTAGGGTTTAGGGTTTATGGTTTAGGGTTTAGGGTTTGGGGTTTAGGGTTTAGGGTTCTTTCCTCGTTTGCCAGCAGAAGCAATAGTACCACTGGCGGATCAAGTTAGCTACTCTCGTACCCTTGCTTATAGGGATCCGAAGTATGGGCCCTAACTACATATGGTGTAACACGGGGCCACATTGGGGTCCCCTAAACCCTAAACCCTAAACCCTAAACCCTAAACCCTAAACCCTAAACCCTAAACCCTAAACCCTAAACCCTAAACCCTAAACCCTAAACCCTAAACCCTAAACCCTAAACCCTAAACCCTAAACCCTAAACCCTAAACCCCAAAACCCTAAACCCTAAACCCTAAACCCTAAACCCTAAACCCTAAACCCTAAACCCTAAACTAAGTGAGGGGTCGCTTCCGTCGAGCGACAGACCCCGAACGCTCGGCCGAGGGCCTTGCAGCCCGAGCGCCCAAGCGAAAAGAGAAACGGAAAGGTGAGGGTTAAGCCTCACCGTCTGTCCTGGACAGGCCAACGGACATCGGCCTTTTTTACGACAACGTCAGTACTCGGCTAAGGGATGGCCGGCACCCAGACCACCTTTAGCGTAGCTAAAGTATAACCCCAAATCGTAACCCTTTGCCTCTGGAGGTGGTTCAGGGTTTTGGGTTCAGGGTTTGCCGGGCCCCCCCCGCCGGGGGCCCCCTGGCCCCTGGCAGCTGGATTCCTGGACCAGGAGGCTGGCGAGGGGTCCAGGCAGGCTGGTTGCTCAATTTCGTGATTTTGGGCTTTTGGATTTTCGGCCCCCAGCCAAGGGGTGCCGGGCCAAGGGCCCCCCGGGCCAAGGCCCCCCGGGCCCTGGGCCAAGGGCCCCCGGGCCTGGGCCTTCTGGGCCAAGGGCCCCGCCCGGAAGCACCCCCGGCCCCCCGCGCCAAGGGCCCCCCAAAGGCCCCCCGGGCCAAGGGCCACCAAGGGCCCCGGCCAAGGGTCCCCGAACCCCCGACCCAAAGGGCCCAAGCGCCACCGGTTCAAGCAAGCCCCCCTTGCCAAGAGCCCCCTAGGGCCAAGCCGCCCGGCCAAGGGCCCCCCGCAGCCAAGTTATTGGGGCCATTGGGCCCAGGGCCAAGGGCCTCCCAGGCTTTTGGAAGGGACCCAACAAGGGCCCAAAACCCCCCCCAAACAAAGGGGCCCCCAACTAAAGGCTCTCGGGCCAAGGGCCCCCCACACCAACACCCTTGCAGGGAAATCGCACGAGCCCCCAACAAGCGCCAAGAGCCACCAAAAGGCTTCAAAAACTTCAAAAGGCCCCCTAAAAGAAGGGGGACCCCAGGATGCCCGTACCCGCAATGAAAAATGCGATTTCTTGGTAGTGAAATCGATGCTTAGTTGAGGCCCTTAAAGAAGGGGAATCCAAGAGCAGACACAGAGGGTTTCCCTGACCTTCAAATAAATAAGGGCCTCTACGGGCCCTGACACGCCGAAGGCCCGAAAAGGGCCGAGGCTACCCCCAACCCCAGCTTAAACCCTAACAGCGCAACTTTAAAAACATCAAAGCAAGCGTCAGAGCACAAGAAAGTACGGGCCCTAACGTGCCGAAGGCCCGAAAAGGGCCGAGGCTACCCCGAACCCCAGCTTAAACCCTAACACCGCAAAACCCTGCCAAGGCCTTCAAGCAAATAAGGGCCTCTACGGGCCCTAACTTGCCGAAGGCCCGAAAAGGGCCGAGGCTACCCCGAACCCGAGCTTAAACCCTAGCGATTGAAATACTCATTGGCGAAAAAATCATTAATAAGTTCCCTGACCTTTAAATGAATAAAGCCTCTACGGCCCCTGACACGCCGAAGGTCCGAACAAGGCCCCGAGAGACCCCAAGAGCCACCAAAATGCTTCAAAAGGCTTCAAAAGGCCCCCTAAAAGAAGGGGGACCCCAGGATGCCCGTACCCGCAATGAAAAATGCGATTTCTTGGTAGTGAAATCGATGCTTAATTGAGGCCCTTAAAGAAGGGGAATCCAAGAGCAGACACAAAGGGTTTCCCTGACCTCAAATAAATAAGGGCCTCTACGGGCCCTGACACGCCGAAGGCCCGAAAAGGGCCGAGGCTACCCCCAACCCCAGCTTAAACCCTAACAGCGCAACTTTAAAAACATCAAAGCAAGCATCAGAGCACAAGAAAGTAAATTCCATAAACCCTAAACCCTAATAGAGTATACTTTGGGTGGCCGGGGTGGGTTGACGGGCAACGCGAGCGCGCGGCCCGGGGTGTTTCACACCCGAGCGCGCGCCCTCCCCTGACACACCCTAAACCCTAAACCCTAAACCCTAAGCCCTAAGCCCTAAAACCTTAAACCCTAAACCCACCTGTGCCCAGGAGCCACATGCTGGGTGTCTACGAGCACCGGGCCCTCAACTCCAAGGCCACCCTCAGGGTTCGGAGGGCCCAAACCAAACCCTAAACCCTAAACCCTAAGCCCTAAGCCCTAAGCCCTAAGCCCTAAGCCCTAAGCCCTAAGCCCTAAGCCCTAAGCCCTAAGCCCTAAGCCCTAAGCCCTAAGCCCTAAGCCCTAAGCCCTAAGCCCTAAGCCCTAAACCCTAATCCCTAAACCCTAAACCCTAAACCCTAAACCCTAAACCCTAAACCGTTCCCTCGGCCGCAAACCCCTGCGAGCCTGTTGGCCGCTGCGAAGGCCCGCCAGCAGCGCTTGGTTACTGCGGCCGAAACTGGCAGCGCGCAGCTGTTGCTCGAAGGCCTCTTTTGGCAGCAGGTCGCTAAACCCTAAATCCTAAACCCTAAACCCTAAACCCTAAACCCTAAACCATTAACCCTAAACCCTAAACCCTAAACCCTAAACCCTAAACCCTAAACCCTAAACCCTAAACCCTAAACGGCAAGGTCATTGTTTACTGGGCAAGGTCATTTTTTACTGGGCAAGGTCATTACTGGGCAAGGTCATTTTTTTATTGGGCAAGGTCATTTTTTTACTGGGCAAGGTTATTTTTTGCTGGGCAAGGTCGTTCCATAAGTGAAATATGTTCTTAATGTTGTGGGATTCTTTGGGCGGGTGGCTATTTTTCTAGAGTAATTTCTTGACTAGTGAATGCTTGGACTTGAGATGCTGAACCCTAAACCCTAAACCCTCTCTACCATATATATTTAAACCTTAATTGTATTTTCAAAATTTGGCCGCTTTATTTTCAGAATTTGGCCGCTTTATTTTCAGAATTTGGCCGCTTTATTTTCAGAATTTGGCCGCTTTATTTTCAGAATTTGGCCGCTTTATTTTCAGAATGGGCCAAAATCAGGCCAAAGGCTAATTGAATTTCAGCCGCTTTATTTTCAGAATTTGGCCGCTTTATTTTCAGAATTTGGCCGCTTTATTTTCAGAATTTGGCCGCTTTTATTTTCAGAATTTGGCCGCTTTTATTTTCAGAATTTGGCCGCTTTATTTTCAGAATTTGGCCGCTTTATTTTCAGAATTTGGCCGCTTTATTTTCAGAATTTGGCCGCTTTATTTTCAGAATTTGGCCGCTTTATTTTCAGAATTTGGCCGCTTTATTTTCAGAATTTGGCCGTTTTTGGCTTTCTCAATGTAGTGGGATTCTCTGGGTGGGTGGGTGGGTGTTATATCCGAGCCGTAAATAAAGCTTAACCATAAAGCTGCTCGACCCGGAGTGCTGAACCCTAAACCCTAAACCCTAAACCCTAAACCCTAAACCCTAAACCCTAAACCCTAAACCCTAAACACTAATAAACCCAAGACCCAGTCATGGGCCCTGAATATGAGGCTCCGTATTTCAACGGGAGGGGCCACCCGCCGAGCCTGGCTTCAAAAAACATCTCTGCAGTCCAACGCTGAGTCCCACTGCCCTTGGGTGTAGGGGTTATTTAGGGTTTAGGGTTTGGGGTTTAGGGGTTAGGGTGCAGGGTTTAGGGTTCAGGGTTTAGGGAAACCCCTAAAGGCCCAAACCTTAAACACCCCAGAACCCTACACTCCAAAGCCTTCAAAAAGGGCCAATTCCTTAGAAACCCCAAAGCCCTAAAACCCCAAAGCCTTACATCTGTGAGAGAGGCTGCTGTGCAAAGGGTCTGCCTGCCTCTTTCAAGCGAAGCTACCTGAAAGGCCTGGGAGGAAACTTCCCTGACACCTTGAACCCCTAAACCTGAACACCCTAAACCCTAGACTCTAGACCCAAAACAACCCCCCCCCCCCACACCTGACTAGCAAGAAAGCCCAAAGGAACCCTAAAACCCAAAAGAGCCCTAAACCCCTCTGAGCCGCGCGTAGGTCAAGCCTCAGAGAACGCTTGGCCGGTGATCCTCGAGTTGGATACCACGTGGTGGGCTTTGCGGGCAGCCTTCGACATCTACTTGGAGAAGGCGGGTTCAGGGTTCAGGGTTACGAGTGGCATGCTACCCCCTAAACCCTAAACCCTAAAACCTAAACCCTAAACCCTAAACCCCAAACCCCAAACCCCAAACCCCAAACCCCAAACCCCAAACCGCACCCGGATGGAATTCTCCCCTTGGCCCGAAGTAGGGAGTGGATCGCCGGGTACGCAAAGGCGAGATCTTGGACAGTAGTTGTAAGAAGGACAAAACTCCATTGTACTTATCAACAAACCCTAACCCCTAACCCCTAACCCCTAACCCCTAACCCCTAACCCCTAAACCCTAAACCCTAAACCCTAAACCCTAAACCCGAAACCCGAAACCCGAAACCCGAAACCCGAAACCCGAAACCCTAAACCCTAAACCCTAAACCCTAAACCTCCAAGTGAGGCCGAGCCAAGCTCGTAGCACCTAAGGCAACCTTTCGCGCATCGTGCCGTGTGGAGTCTGCGTCGAGATGCGCAGGAAATCGAAGATGCAAAAAGTGGGAAAGACCTCAACAAACGAGAAAACGCAAAGCAACCAGAAACCACGCAGCCAGAAAGAGGGTAGAAACACGCAAAGCACGAGACCAAACGCAAAAAGCAAGAACAAGCAAGCTACACGTCGAAAAGCACAGCGTTTTGTCGCGCCTTTCGCGTTTTTTTCGCTTTATTGGCGCTTCTCGAGTTTTTCGCAGTTTCCACGGCTTCCGATCCTATCAAGCCCTGGCAGGCCCCAACCAGTTACAGTTCCAACGCGAACCCTGTGCCCTGGCACCTTCAACGTCAAAATCTCAGGCCCTAAACGTCCCTAAACTAAATCTTCAAGCCTCCAGCCCGCGCAGTTGTCTTTCGGACACGACTTGCCCGTGCCTGAACTAAATGCCTTTTGAAACTCAGCCCGGCGCTGGAAACCTAAATGTGCCCTAAACCTAAATGAGCTGCATAACATTGGGGCTTGCGTCCGCCCCTCTCAGCCTCACCAAACCCCAAACAAAGCCGTTACCGAAAACCTTCCCCGGAATGTGCCATGACCGTGGTGTTGCTCAAAGGCGCAAAGCCCCGAAGAAAGCCGCTATCGAAAACAGTCCCTGGAATGTGCCATGACTCTGGTGTTGTTCAAAGGTGCAAACCGCAATGAAAGCCGTTACCCTCAAACGCTGCCGGCATGCTGCCCTCCGACTCGATGAGCCTTAAGCTTAAAACCCTTGATTCTGTTAAGTCCTAGGTCCTAGAGAGCTACAGACCCACTTGTTGGGGTCCTCGAGCTGGGTGTCGTAGAACTTTTGTTTTGCGTTGTTCACGCTTGTCTCTTTTCTCGCATTCACGCGGCGCCTCCGCTTGGGCAAGACGCACAAACCGTTTCCATAGCCACAGGGTTTAGGGTTTAGGGTTTAGGGTTCAAGGTTTAGGTTTTAGGGTCAACAATTAAGCTCGCTAATGGCGAAGGGAGTGCACTGACAGTGGAACAAAGCTGTGCTTGGTGGTCGGCAGGCCTTCTTGACGAGTTGATTTTGGGATGTTCCCCCGTTATACTAGCAGTCCTTAATGGGGATGATCAGCTTTTCTCACAGGGGGTACTATAATCCCTACTTGGGACTGTTCGTTTAGGGGGCCATCCCAAAGTTAAGTCGTCACCAATCCCGAGACCCCCGACCCTCAGCCCTAAACCCTAAACCCTAAACCCTAAACCCTAAACCCTAAACCCTAAACCCTAAACCCTAAGCCCTAAACCCTAAACCCTAAACCCTAAACCCTAAACCCTAAACCCTAAACCCTAAACCCTAAACCCAAACCCCAAACCCTAAGCCCCTAAGCCCAACCCCCCAAGAGCCTCAAACCCGTGAAGGGACCTGCTCCCCCAGCTGCAGCAGCTGCCAGTTGAACAGCAAGGATGTTTAGGGTTTAGGGTTTAGGGTTTAGGGTTTAGGGTTTAGGGGTAGTTTGGGCTTTCCTAAATCATAAGACCCAAACCCTTAGAACATCGGTATTGTTGTCTTTTGCGGGCGGCAAGGCCAAGCGGCATGCCCAGAGTTACCTCCACGCATCGCAACTCCTGCAGGACTGAGGGACATCAATGGGTGTTTAGGGTTTAGGGTTTAGGGTTTGGGGTTTAGGGTTTAGGGTTTAGGGTAGGGGTTTGGAGATCTCTCCGCTTCCCCAGCTCGGGCACGCAGTTCTGCGCTGCAAGTAAACGAATCGCAGCTGCCAAGTTCCAGTCGGCCCCTTTTGGGTATTTCCAAAATGGGGTACCCCGTTTATAGCCGAAGTAGAGTAGAATCCCCTCAAAGGGGACCCCAAAAAAGGGTAGGGATCCCCCAAATCTCAAGCCTCGGTGGAAAAAGAAAGGTTTAGGGTTTAGGGTTTAGGGTTTCGGGTTTAGGGTTTAGGGTTTAGGGTTTAGGGTTTAGGGTTTGGGGTTTGGGGCTTTTGGGGTCCAGGTTTAGGGTACCCCACAAAACGAGGGTGCCCCACTTGAGGAGGTAATCTAATGTGATCGAAGTCTGCACGGTCCTGCTTAAACTGCTCTCCTTCGCAACCACAAGGCTGAGTATTGTATGCCTACCTGCATACCGCTTTTTCAGTGCTAACACCCTAAACCCCAAAGCCCTCAACCCTTACACTGCCTTACACCCTAAACCCTAAACCCTAAGCCCTAAACCCTAAACCCTAAACCCTAAACCCTAAACCCTAAACCCTAAACCCCAAAGCCCTCAAACCTTACACCCTAAACCCTAAACCCCGCATCCTAAAGCCCAAGCCCAGCAGGGTGCCTGCCTCTTGGGAAACATCTTTCTGGGAGCAGCCCCCCGGTTCGCTATTTCGGGAGTTGAGAAATTGAGGGGGTTTAGGGTTTAGGGTTTAGGGTTTAGGGTTTAGGGTTTAGGGTTCAGGGTCTCATCTTGTCGCCTTCGTCCCTTAAACCCAGGACTATGTGGGCTGCTCCGCAGAGTTTGCAGAGGTGGCGCAAGGGGTTGAAAGGTATCAGCCGGTTTAGGGTTTAGGGTTTAGGGTTTAGGGTTTAGGGTTTAAGGTTTAGGGTTAGTCATGCCCCAGGTACTCGGCTTCTGCTCTGAGATCATGAGTGGGAGTTGCTCTAAAGGTCCTTTCAAGGGATAGACCATGGAGAGCAAGTCCCTTGAAAGAGGAACCCTTGCTCAGAATTTCAACCTATAGCTTTCCGGGGCAGGTATTTAGAACAAGTGCCATGTAGGGTCATGTAGCGGCATATGGAATTGGCAGAATGATCATGGGGATGACGTTGGTGAATAGTAGAACCTTAAACCCTCTAAACCCCATGAACCCTAAACGGCCCCCGTGGTACTCGCTTCCCACTCCAGCTCTTGGCGGAGGTGCGGGCCGCGTACGGACATCTGCTCAATGCGGAGGAAGCTGCTGAGCACGCACTGGAGGCGGCACATTACCATTATAACTAGTACTAGTACTATCACTACTATGTTTATCATGGTTATATATATATATATATCTGTCTTTCATGTTTCCTTGCAGCTGAGGGTTCAGGGTTTAGGGTTTAGGGGTTTAGGGTTTCGGGAGACTGTTGAAAGGGACTATGAGAGTTTGTAGAGAACTGCCTTTTCAGGAGGCGTGGACCAGCATGCTGCCCCTGAGCGGCCTCCTCGTGTCGAAGTTGGTGGACTCGAATGCGCTCATCAAGCTGAGCTCCCTGGCGGGGGGTATTTCGCACAGTCTTGTGTTGCTGCAAAGCGCAGCCGCCCAGGGGGGGGGGGGGCTTTTTGCTAGTCACCATAACATGGATGCATCGCGGGATGCTTTAGGGTTTAGGGTTTAGTGTTTAGGGTTTAGGGTTTAGGGAAACAGCATCCCCCACATTGCCGGAGCCCAGCAGAGACTTGCGAAACACAGATAGCCCGAAACCGTCGAAGCCCCTACTAATTTGTCGATACTTCAAGATATCAGCTGTATTACCCTACTTACGCTACTTCATTGGCTCAAGACAAAAAGTGCGTTGCACTGTACTCGTTGAGTTTAGGGCTTTCCGCTGGTAACAATAGGTTATCAGCCGTAGACTCTAACACTACCTGCCGGTGTCATGGAAGGGCAATCTCCCGGAAATGCTGCAGCAATCCCCGTACCTGTGGAGGACGAAACAATGTCACTGCTTAGCAACCCCGTTGTAGGGGAACCTACAGCTGTATCGACAAACACTCCCAGGGATGGTGAGGTTATGCCGCTCAGTCAAGAGAACTTGGCAATGCTCGCAGCCCAGAACGATCCAAGAATCATGCATGTTGGAGCAGTTAGCGAGCAACGACTTGCCACTGGCAATGTGCCAGGTTTAGGCTCCATGAACTCTTGGAACATGGTTCCAGGGCTAAGCACCCCAGCATACTCACCGACAGAGAGAGCTCCTTCAGTGTTCTCTCCGACGTTCAATGCCCAGAACATAGACCGTAGGCAGCTCCAGGTGAATCAAGTTGACGCAAGGCAATTGGCGCTGAGCCAGGTTGACGTCCACGTCAACGCGGATACTGGGCCAGCCGTTGCCATGGCCGCAGAGGCGCGCCACAGGGAAATTGTAGGAGCCATAGGGGAGGCTCATAGGGAGGAAATCAACATACTTAGTTCCCAGGCCACATCCAAGGTGGCACAATTGCGTCATGAGTATACTGTCCTTCAGAACAATCTTAAGCAGCTTGAGAGTGAAGCCGCCACCTGGCCGAGGCAAAGGCAAGCCAGGTGACCCAGATGATGACGATGACGATGATGATGGAGACAAGAAGAAAAAGAAGGACGACAAAAAGAAGAAGAAGAAGAAGAAGAAGAAGAAGAAGAAGAAAAAGAGGGACTCATCTTCGTCCTCTGATTCTTCCTCATCTTCGGCTATTTCACCGAAAGAGATGAAGAGATTCTTCAAGAAGATGATGAAAGGTGGCTCGAGTGACAAAGATGCCGATAAAGCCGAATCATCGGACAAGGCCCCCAAAACGAAGGAAGCTGAGAAGGTTATAGTCCCAAAGTTTCCTCAGCCTGAGAGCTATCGCAATTGGCGCATCAGAGTTCGTGACGCGGTTGTAGCTGCATCTGATAAGCCTGATAAAGCTTTCGAGTGGTTGTCTAGGGTTTGGGAAGCCGATATGAAGGAGGAAACCCTTCGTGATCCGGAAGGATTCACCACCCTTGACGCTAAGATTCTTTCAGCTCTGTCAAACATCCTGGAAGGCGACTTTGCACGTCAGGTGGACACCTTCAAAGAAACAGAGGCCAACGCCGGACGCCCAGTTAGAGGAAGGCAGATTCTCTTCAGGATTCACAATTACTTTGCGACGAACGCTCAACACGGAGCGGTGTATGACATGGAAGATTTGCTTTCAGTCACGTTGCTCAATGAGAATCTTCTCACCTTTATGCGAAATTGGGACACGGTGTTGTCGGGGATTCCCAAAACCCCTGAAGCATCATTCCTCGAACCACTATTCCATAGACAGGTCAAAAAGGTCAAGGCTCTCTCGCATGACATCAACATCTACGAAAGAGCTCTTGAAGGTTCCAAAGAACGGTCCTACAGTTTCCTGTATGATGCTGCGAACGCGCACCTCAACAGGAAGCGCCTTGAACGCAACCGGGAACGGATGGCTCGACAGACGGGCAGTCCTGCTGTGCCCACTGCACCTGCACCTAAGAGGGTTCCTAAAGGTTTCTGCATTTCATGGGTCCGTAATGGTTCCTGTACCAAAGGTGACCAATGTAAGTACAAGCACCAGACTCCGGCCAAGGGACGCGGCCGCTCCGCTACGCCGGCTGGCTCACGAGCAAGCTCTGCAAGCCCCGGTGGTAAGCCTAAGATCTGCAAGTTCTACAAGCAAGGACGTTGCGATCGGGGGGAGAACTGCAATTTTCTCCACACAGGCAAGCCAGGTGCAGCTGCGCCTTCCGAAACCAGTGGGAAGGGGTCAAAAGGCAAAGGGAAGAAGAAGGACCGCAAGAAGAAGAAAGATCGCAAGTCTTCTCGCTCTAGCTCCAAGGGTTCTAAGGGTAGCAGGAATTCCAAGGGAAGTCAAGGCTCCAAGAACTCGAAGGGCTCAGGCAGAAAGAAGCCTTCAAGCGGTATCCCTGCTGCTGTATGTCTCCTTAGTGCTCTTGTTGCTGGTTCGGCCACCCAAGCCGATGCTTTCTCCCTCCGGAAGGAGTGGACGGACCAGGTCACCAATTGCACGTATCCCTATAGTCTGGCGCTACCAGCGGTAAATTTCAGCTCTGAAGTCGATTACATTAACATTCCTGTTAGTGATCCCAACGCGAGGTTCACTCCAGTATCGCCCACCAACCGTAAGCATCGAGGAGAAAAGCCTTTGGATTTTGTTCCAGAAACCAGAGCAGACTCCATCCGAGAGGCCCAGATGTCAGCGAAGATGCTGAAAGCTTCCATCTCTACCAAGGACGACGTTCCGGCCTGCCGATGGGAGTGTGATTCGGAGATTGGATGTAATCACTGTATCCCAAAGGGTCTCAGAATGTCGTGCCCTGCTAAGACTAAAGGGTCCTCTAAGATGCTTAACCTTGAGTGGATTGGTGACACAGGGAGTGCACAAGACCTAATCGCGGAGAGGGATCTCCAGCATTTGAAGGCTTATGAATCTGAACAGCCGATCAACATCATGACCGCGAACGGTCCCAGCTCTGCTGACAAGCAATGTGATGTCGACGTTCCGTCGATTGCTATTTCTGCCAAGCCTTATGTGCTGCCGGACACTCCTTCAGTCCTCTCCATAGGACAGCGTTGCATGGAGCAAGGCTTCGATTTCATTTGGAGAGCCTGTACTCGCCCTTATTTGAAGACTCCTGAGGGTGAAAGAGTTTTCCTTGATGTTCGAGATAACGTGCCTTTCCTCAAATCGTGGAAGGAGGGCACTGCCTGCCCTGCGCGTGAATCTAAGTCCGATGAGATTCAGCCTGTTGCCAGAGGTGAAATGCCTGATCGCAGCTCTGAAGAGATTGCTTTGCAGCTTCTGGAGAAGCACGACTTCTCGGAGCGATCATGCGTTGATCTCTTGCGCACCGTCAATTTCGGAGCGGGTAGGAGTAGAAGAAAAGCACTAGGAGAGAAGCGTGGCAGTAGCAAAGAGAAGTATGTGATACTTGGTGCTTTTGCACATGGAGGGTTTCATGGTGTAACCAAGAGAACTGGACGCCATGTTAACACCATCAAGTATCTCATCGCATTTCTTCGCAAGAGAGGCGCGGAGTTGGAGAGCTGTTCATCACTCTGCATCAACCAAAACTCGCCTATCAAGGTCCATAAGGATGTGAACAATCACAAAGACCATCTCAACGTTACGATTGCCGTGGGAGAGTTTTCCGATGGTGGCCTTTGGATTCATGACCCGAACGCTATGAAAACCGATAAAAATTATCTAGAGGTCAAGGATCCTATAGGCACCAAACTCCCAGGGATGGTCCATGACAGTCACAACAAGATTGTTGTTTTTGACCCGAAGACATCCCATTCTGTGAGGCCTTGGAAGGGTGAACGTTGGAGCATTACTGCCTACACCTGTAGGTCAGTTTACCAACTTGATAACCAGGACGTTGCGAAGCTTCGAGATTGTGGGTTTGTTATTCCTCATAAGAGGGTTCCTATTGCGCCGGCATCCGCCGATGATCCTGACGAAAGGACTCTTAGGGAACTGATGGAGGAAGACACGCCCGTTCGGCCTTTGCCGGACCGCACCAAGCCTACAGTAAAACTTAAAGCTAAGTCTAAGCCTGAACCAAAAGCAAAATCCGAGCCAAGGGACGGTGTTCGAGACTCTGGTCTCCTCAGGTCCGAAGGAGCGGCGCGGGTACGAGCCATTCTAGATGGTTCTCGCCATGCTCCGCCCTCTGACGAGGTGCGTGCTGAACCGGACGTCGGTCCTCCTGCCCCGGCAGCGGCCGATGCCCCTGATGGGGAAGCAGCATCAAGTGACGATCCTGAAGCACCTGAACGTAGAGCTCGTAGTCGGAGCAAAGAAGCTCTGATCAAAGAATCAACAACCCGTGAACACCTTATGACTCATGTCCCCAAGAACCCTTACTGCCAAATATGCCAACGAGCTAAGATGTACAAGCCTCCTTCTTACAAGAAGGAAACCAGTACTATCGAAGCAGAGGTCTTTGGCGACCACGTGACCGCAGATCATCTGATCTTGCACAGGGACAAGCAAACTGTCATTGAGGATTCACGTCTTGCACTTGTGGTTAAGGATGTTGCCACTTGTTTCATGTATGCATACCCTGCTGCATTGAAGTCGGAAGACGAATGCCTCGTGGCGCTCCAGCACTTCGCATCCGCGAAGGACAATGTGGAGACTTTCTACAGTGAGAAGTCTAGGGAACTTGAGGCTGCGGCCAAAACGCTCGGCTGGCGCCATGAGCTCTCTAAGGCTTATATCCATCAGTCCAACGCTGTTGCTGAGCGTGCTGTGCGAGCCACCACCGAGGGCACTCGCACCAATCTCATTCAAGCTGGCATTTCGCATGTTTACTGGCCGTTTGCCCTTGAGCATGCGTGCACTGCCTACAACATCAGCAATCCGGGGGGCAAAGAGTTTACCCCTTGGTTCAAGCGTTTTGGTGTTGCATTCCCTGAAGAACCCCTTCCTTTCGGTTGTAGGATTGACGTTTGGGTTGGTCCGAAAGCCCAGCGCAAGGGTAGAGA